CTTTTTTTTTTTTTTTTTTACTGGGGTGAGACAGTGTCAAGTTGATTTGTACTCTGGCTTCTTTCACTTAGCTACTCCAAGATGTTACAGATCAGCTCCTCTACTGCTGCTATTTGAAAAACACGTGTTCTCATTTTCTCCATGGTGGAGAGGTGAGCAGAGATGGGAATTGAGGTTAGGTGATCATGCCATCAGTGATCCTAAGCGCTAGAGCAGAACTGCTGTATGCACAGTTGAAATGCATACTTGTTCTTCTTTTCCAGGTCAGCGACATGATGGACATTCTGCTTTATAAGCCAGCATGTCACTGGCCTGCCCCCATTCGTCTAATATACACTAGGGGCTGAGGATGAGCAAAATACCATTGTGTTGTTGCCAAGGGCTCTAGGCACCACAGACCAGGGACAACGGGTAAGAAACAAATCTTAGTGTATGCAAACCCTAACGATCAACTTCTCTTATTTGCTGTCTTTGCTCTGCAAAATTCACCACTGAACGTGTTTTGTTTATATCCATGTTATAAGTAAATTAAAAAGACTGGTTTTGCCAGAAATCTTGTTGGTTGATAATTTCCTGTGCTTTCTTCCTCTTACACAATGAGAAGTTTTGGGAAGGTGAGGGGAGAGGTCTCTGTAAATGTAGTAGGCAGGGCTGACAACAGGTGCTTTGAAACTGAGAGCTGAAAATATGAAGCACAGTGAGGGTAATTTATCACAACTGGAGCAAGCAGAATCAAAAACCTTTCATTTTTGAACCTAAACTGAAGAGAGAAGCTGATTGGTTGTCATAGTCAAATGCTCCAGATTCTTCTGCTCCAGTGTTGAAAAATCCCCCCCCCCCCCCCCCCTTTTTTTTGGTTGTGCCTGTACATATGCTTTAAGAAATGCTCAAAAAAATGAATATACCGGTAAATGAATAAGAATAAATCCATACATATATAGGGAAGGGTTAAATCCTTTTTTGCTGTCTGTCCTGTTGGGGAAATTTCACTTCTTGTTTTAGAGACCCAATGGGAAGTAAAATGAAACGCTGGTCCACAAGGAGAAAGCCTCGGAAATGAAAGTAGCTAAATTGTACCAGAATTGGGCCACTAATAAAGGAAAATTTAAGTCCTGAGTATTTGGCTCCAGTTTCCAAGATACAGCTTCAGGTCAAAATTATGAGGGGGATGTGCAATTTATGCTCCATAACATTTCTACAAAATGTGATATATCAATGAGAATGGTGTCACACCAATCATTATAAATGTATCTTTTATTGATACCGATAAGCATTAACTTTCCATTAATTTTGATTGTCCATAGCCTTTACTAAGTTCTTCATCAGCCCCAGCTTTATATGGAATGATGGTCTCAAACTTTTCTGAGACTCAACAAGAGCTGGATTTTGAACATTTTTCTTTCCTGGCTCCCAGGACTGTTGTGATGGCCAGACTTTCTTGACATAATGAGAATCTCTGGCTCGACTGTCCCATTCACAGGGGAAACGGCAGTATTTTGTGTATCCACCCTTCAGGCCAAGCAATGACTTCCAAATCAACACAGAGCTGCCACTGATGTTGCTCATTCTTTATACACCTCAGCAGCTGTTTCATGTTTTTGTATGTTTCTTTCATGTGGCTGCATGCCCGACAGGAACGGATGGCAAAACATTGCCATTGTGCAATAAAACAGCTTTTTTAGGTGAAATCTATGAACAATCTCCATTCATCTGGATTGTGGGTAATGTTGAGGGCTGTCGGGAAGCCATCGATATCATTGCAAAAAAACAAATCACCTTCCACTAAAATACTGAACTAGATCTTTTTGGTGATCACAGAAAATGGCGATCCTGATATCACTCTGCAAGAGGTTCCACTGTTGTAATCTGGAGCCCAGTAGCTCTGCCGTACACTTAGGCAATTCCAAATCCCTGACAAGGTCATTTAGTTCACTCTGTGAAATGAGATGTGGTTCAGGAGGAGCATACGGTGGGCTAAAGTTTGGGTCTGCTGACATTGACGGCCCAAATCGGCTGCATCCTGCTCATCGTCTTTATTATCATCGGATTCTAGAGAGTAGCATTCAGGTGGATCTGGAATAGGACAGTCCTCACCATGGGGTACAGGATGCAGTGCCGCTGGAATGTTTGGATATTCCGTGGTCCACCTCATCCTTCTTGAGATTCCTTTTGCAATTGGTGGAACCATGCAAAAAAAATAGCAGTCGCTACTATGGTGGGTTTCCGCCACACCATTGGGACTGCGAAAGGCATGGACTTTTTCTTCCTGTTTAGCCAATGACGCAGCTAAGTTGCACATGGAATGCCACAATGAGGGGCCGAACTTTTGTCCTGATCCCCCTATTTTGCATCCAAAATATAGGTGGGATGCCTTTTTTACCACTGCCATCATACTACACTTTTGAGTTGCAAATGTAGCAGAAATTATCTGCGTTTACAGTTTCGAGGCATCTAGGCTTCTGAGGGAAAATATCACGCAACTGTTCCTTGGAAATGTTAGGCAATGACCCTTTCACAAGCCACCAGATGTAACTGTATGATGCGTAGATCTGACCAAGACAAACATACCCTGCAATAAAAGAACACAAAATTCCAGTTCGGTCATAATCTTTAGTCTCTTATACAATTCCATGTGCAACCATTTTCATTGTTCTACCGTACTATGTCAAGAAGTTACGAGGCATCATGATCATCAGACACCTCCCTCACTTGTAGGCAAATATGCTCGTCTGTGTATCAATCTTTATTGTGAAATATCTTAAACTTTAGCTAGCCAGCACCTATATCCCCTGTTTTCTAATTCATCTAAACAAAATATGAGGTAGTTTCCCAAAATTTGTAGACCAGTGTAATCTTAAAGAGAAATATTCCTTTCACTTTGTCACCAGAACATGTGTCATGTCCCTATTGTAAGATTTCCCCTCATATCTTATGACATCTGTAATATTGTTGGCTTTTGCCTCACTTTCTGCCTCTACCGAGACAGACTGCTTTAAAATCCTGTCCGGGGTCCAAGCCTAAAGTCCAAACTTTAAAATGATTTATGATGGGATCAACAGGTATCCTCCGTTGCTTGCAGAAAAGGTATTTAGCCAGACAAACTTTTGAAGTCACCACGTCTAAGAACTGATAAGATCCAAAATATCACTTTTGATTTTAGATTTTAAAAATGTTAAAGCAGAGAGACTTAAGTGAAATGTGGAGCTTCCTTCTGTGGCTCCTCTACAAATGTCTACATTTAATAAAATGCCATTTAATATGGAAGGTTACCGATGTAAAAACATAAATATGCACCAAAAACTACTTTTACGTAAACACTAACTCAAATATATCCTTTGTTGTAAATGCACTATATTTCCTTAACCTTTTTTTCTATTTAGTCCTCCAGTTAGGCGACAAAGAGGAAGAAGGGACAGGCTGTCGCGCCATAATCCTGTTAGCCAAGATGAGAATTATCATCACATTTCCTATGGCCAGCAGCAGACACTAGAGGAGCCCAGGGCCTTTCACCCTCCGAATGTATCTCCCCGCATGCTACATCCAGCTGCACATGCACAACAGCAGAATACCGTAATGGTTGACATTCATGAGCAGGTATGTTACTTTTGTCCTGTTCTAGTTTTGGCTTCTGTTTGCAATACTAAACCTCTAAAATAATTCAGTTTGTCAAAAATTGTTGGCATGAAATGTAACTTCTGTTTTGTAATGGTTGATTTGAACTTTTTTTTTCAGATTCACCAGGGTACAGTACCGGTTTCTTACACTGTTACAACCGTAGCACCACATGGAATCCCTCTGTGTACTGGGCAACACATCCCTGCTTGTAGTGCACAGCAAGTTCCGGGCTGTTCTGTGGTCTTTAGTGGACAGCACTTACCTGTCTGCAGTGTGCCTCCTCCAGTAAGTTGTGGAAAGCTAGTCTCAGCTTTATTTGCTATTGCTCCTCCCATATTTTTTTTTTTTTAGAGTGAAAAGTTTAAAGTGGGTTGAAGAGCAGGCATGTTAAAAGATGTTAGTTTATTAACTTCCTGTACAGAATTAATGTAGTCCTTCCGTATTCAAACTAGACTCCACACCATTGTTTTCTGTAGTACCCTCTGGCCTTTTCATAGCTGTTGTTCATTGGGCAGCATAATGCTTTGTTTAGTTCGAGCGCATTAGGGACGTTGACCTCACTGTTACCTTGTCGGTAGGTTTGCTCAACTTTCACTGAGGGCCTGTTCTCACCATAGCGTTGCATTAAATGCATGATGCCATGCGTGTAGAGCACACCATACTGTGCGCCAGGTGTGTTTATAGTGCAATAACATGCGTTGCACTGTGGTGAAAAAAAGTGCATGCTCCCAGGAGGTGCAACAGGGTATAATTCTAATGAATGGTAACACATTTACCACATGGTGTCGCATATTAGGTGCGCTGTCTAATAGCCTGCTCCCTTACATAGGCTAGCAGAATAAAGGGGGTATGTCCATCGTCTGGCTCGTGTGGTGTGTGTTCTCAATAGAGTTAAATAGCTGGAGATCAATTGCTACAGGCTGTTAACAGCATAGCAGTGAATCTCTGCAGCAACCTGCAATTGGAGACTCAAGCTTACCAGATTCTGGCTGTAATACAGTAAATGTGAAATATTAATGTGTGTTATTTCATATCTACCAAATCAGAAATTCCATTCTGTAGACTACCCCCCCTAACAGTTTGCGTTTTTTTTTTTTAAATGTGGCATGGTTGTTATTTTGGATGAAGAGTTGTAGTGAACATATATGCTTTTATTCTGGAGGGAAAATTGGTGGCAGTTTTTATTTTTAATTGTTTTAAGTTTATTAGTCGGAAAGCACAGCAGTACACGAATGCTTGGAAGTAGGGATGCACCGATATATCGGCCGAAAATGGCACGTTTGGCATATTGTATTGATTTTGATTCTATTTTGTCTTTTACAGATGCTTCAAGCATGTTCGGTTCAACACTTACCAGTTCCCTATGCTGCTTTTCCACCCCTTCTTTCCAGTGATCCATTCCTATTGCATCCACCACACCTTTCCCCACATCACCATGCTCATCTGCCCCCTCCTGGACAGTTTGTACCGTTCCAGGCACAACAGTCTCGATCGGTAAGTAACATTCTGCAATCCATTGAAACCTTTTAGTTTTGGTGTGGGAAAGGGTTAAAATCCCTATCGGATTATTTTTCTCTTTCTGTCCTGGAGACACAACAGGAAATGGAAATGAAAGCTCTTCAAAGTGAAGGAAATTGTCTCCATGGGGGGTTGTCGCAGGAACTGGTATCCCCTCACTTTCTGCTCTGTACCAGTGGTCACTATGACAAAGAGGGATAAAACTCGCCGGTTGAGACCCAAACCGCAATTAAAACACGACAGAGGTTTTAACCCTTCCCTTCTGTCCAAAATGAAAAGTTGCTTTTTACACTAAAAGGAGAACTATGAGGTGAGTGATTTCCACTCATCCTCATAGTTGGAGCTGACCTGTGACAAAGAAGCTGTCGCAGGTCAGCTCTATCGATCAGGAAGTGAGCAGAAACATGTAGCTGATCCGCTCACTTCCCGATCGTCTCCCTGCAGTGACCGGTGACTGTCAGTCACCACTCCCCGCAGGGATTTCCCCCCTCTCTGATCCTCCAGCACAGACTGGAGGAATGGACGCGGGAGGGGCAGACACAGCTCGCTCTGCCTCTAGATAGGCAGAGCCAGCTGTCGCTCACGCAGCTGGGCGGATCCAGACAGTATTGTCGGGATCCGTCCCGGCTGCAACGCTCTTGGTATATAGCGAGCAATAGCACTCAATATACTGAGCTTTGGGGGTCACGGGAAGAGGTTAGTATATGTCCTCCCGTGACCCTAAAGAGCTATGGGGAAAAAAACGTACCCCATAGTTCTCTTTTAAGGTTTCAGTCATGGGCAACTCTGCTATTACACACAACTTAAGGCCTTGTTCACACTAAATGCAGAGCAGATCTGCACACGCAGTGCAGTGGGTTTTGCCGCACTTTTGATGCGTTCCGGGCCGTTTTTTGGTAAACAATTTTTTGTTTTTTAGTTTAAAATGGGCTTCCAGAGCAGGTAAAATAGGGCCTGCTGCAGTTTTGTTACCTGCTCTGGAACGGAACGCTGCAATGTGAACTTGAGCTAAAACTACCATTGGAATACTTTGGACGCAGTTTTGCTGTGGTCTGCACCTGCTCCGCACTTGGTGTGAACAAGGCCTAATTGTCTTTTGATTGTGGATGTATCTGATCACCTATAGCCAAACGTTTTGCAGCATATGTTATGCAGCTACTCGTGAAAGGTTTCATTCTACCAGTAACACTTTTTTCAGTTTGGTTTGCATTTTTACATAAAGCACTGTACTAATGCAGTTTTCTTCATAAAGCATTCATATGAAGTTAATGATGCAAATATACAACCTGACCACAAACTTATGGAAAATGTGTTGTTTTTTTTTTGCTTTTTTTGTTTGAACAGTGTACGTTGTACTCTTTGTTTACATCAGAAATACTTTGAATACTTAATAATGTGAAATGGTTTTTTTTTCTTCCTTCAGCCTCTACAAAGGATAGAGAATGAAGTTGAGCTGTTGAGTGAGCATCTACCTGTTGGGGGGTTCACATATCCTCCACCTGCTCATGCGCCAACTTTGCAGCCCTCTGCATCGTTACAGTTCATAACTCATGATCCTTTGCACCAAGAGGTTTCTTTTGGAGTTGTAAGTAACATATTTTTTTTCCAGATAATTGTCACTTATTCTGTATCGGAAATGAATGTATCTTGCCATTTTATGGTAGTATCTGTCCCCTGCACTCCTTTCAGCATCTACAACCGGTAGCAGATTTGTTGCTCGTAGAGATGGACACAGATGGTGCTGTGTATGTGCAAGCTTAAGAAAGTAGTAGATCACCATCACTCCAAAGATATTGTTTCAAACCTTTGTGCTCATTTATTGATATATAGCGTCGCATATATCCGATAGCCAAAGTTTCGCTGCCACTTAGGGCTTGTTCACACCATTCTCTGGTGCAGATCTGCAGATGCGGTGCTATGCGTGCAGCGGGGTTTTACCGCATTCCGGACACGTTCTCGTTCCTTTTTTTTTTTTGTGGAGTGGCGCTGTCGGCTGTTAACTGCAGTGCGGCGTGACCGGAGAAAATGTGACATGCAGTATTTTTTCTGTCCGGAACGTACTGCGCTGGTGAGAACTGGAGCCCATAAAACACATAGGTATACATAGGGACGCATTTTTAGTGCAGGAGCGAACTGTTCTGGTCCAGACAGAATCCAGACATTGTGTGAACTAGCCCTTATGGTCCCTTCATGAGGTCACAGTGGATATATGTGACACTATGTATCAATAAATGAACACAAAAAATGTAAACGATATCTTTTGGAGTGCTGGTGACATTATGGTAACATTTCAATGAAAATAACACTGGGGGGGGGGTCTGACACGAGCATGTCAGAATAGAGAAAAAAAAAAAAAAAAAAAAAAAAATACCCTTTAAAAATTGCCCTTTTATAAGCGGTTTGTCAGTCAACATGATGGATTGCAGGTGCTGGAGACGGACAACATTTTTTAAGATGGCAAGATGGCAGGGTATGGACTCTGTAACGACTGTTCTCACATTGCAAGAAAAAGGGGTAACTTGTATGTAGTGATTTCAACAGTTGCCCCTTTAAAATGAATACTCCTATTATTTTTTTTTTGTTTCAGCAAGACTGGCATTTTAAGAATGATTTCTATTCATACAATTCTGTACTATAGAAATTGGGGCACTTTTCACCCAAAAAAATGGGCTGAAAATCTTGGCTTATACTCGAGTATATACGGTAAATCAAATTTTTTGCTTGGTATGTGTTTTTGTTTGGGGAGTACACAACAATATTCATCTGCTTTTTAAAATGTCATCTTTCAGCATGTTAGAGTTGCGCCAGTGAAAATTGAGTGCAACCTTTTTTAAAACTTTAAAATTAAACTATCTTTTAAAATATGTATATCTCAGGAAAATCAGTCATTTGCAGTATGTACTACTTAGCTAAAGCTTGTTACATCGCTACAAGTTTCCATTCATCTCCCTACAGTAAGCCCCCTGAAGTATGGTTTTCTATCAACTGAGACTCATCAATCAGACTTGTTGCTTCTCCACTTTAACCTGCCTGACATCAGAATTACGTCAGGGCAATGGTCGAGTAAATGTCTCCCAGCTATTGTGAAATGAGAATCTGTTTTATACGTGCAATGCCTGCACAGTAAGATGAAAATGGATTCAATCTCTGCAGGAAAAACACTGTAAAACATTTTGGCATCTACCTGTCCTTAGCTTTTTAATTAAAGTTGGGTTTTCCTTCAGAGATTGTTTGCCAAAAAAAAAAATATTGTTTTCATGAATCTGTCATCCAACATCTAGAGCTGTAGCCCTGCGCTACGGCATACATGGATTAGCAGACCTATTACATGACATTTTGTTCCCGGAGACCAAGAGACACATCTTTTAATTTCCCTCAGAGTCTAAGCCAGGAATTTAGTTCTGCTTTTAGACCTGGACACCAAAACCTGCAAAGTCTGGGAACAAGTCTGCATCTCAATGAGGGGGCACCCCCCACTTGTCAAAGTTGGGGAAACCTGTTAGCCTTTACGGCCATCTGGTCGCCAGATGCCTGGGTCCAGAAAATAATGTTCAGGGCTTACAAACTAGAGTTTCTGCCTCCACCATGCTTCATGTTCAACCTTCCAGCTTCCACTCAAAGGCAGACTGACATCTACTCTGCTCTCCAGCAGTTCCATTCTTAAGGGGTCATAATTCTAGGGTTTCTCCTTTTTAAACTTTTTCAATAATTCGCCCCATTTTAGGTTTGAAAACACTCAACCGGTTCTTTCATGTTCAGTAATTCCACATGGAATTTTTCACGTCAGTCATTGCTTCCCTTTAACTGTAGAATCTTCCGACCTCTATGGACATTCCAATTGGCCAGTAAAGCCGTAGAGCTGGATCAATAGGAATGTTTGGAGATGGGGCTTAGTGCCAACACTGCTTGGAAGTGTTGAGGTTTTGCCAGACAGAACAGCCTGCTAGTTGGCCTAGATAGGAAGGTTTGAGACTGCTGCAATATGTGCACAGTTGGATGCGTGCACTTAATACCTGCAGCAGTATTTCCCTCTTCCCCTTGTGACAGACTCTTAAAGTGCATTGAAATGTCCTATTTATTAAGATCTGATCTACATTTTTATTTTGTTTTTGTTCTTGCAGCCTTATCCTCCGTTTTTGCCAAGAAGACTAACAGGACGTAGCAGATACCGATCACAACAGCCAATACCACCGCCACCTTACCATCCGAGCCTTTTACCTTATGTTCTGTAAGTGTACCAGAAACTATACCTTTAATGTGGAACTCCAGTCAGAACCACCTTGTTTGCAAGAGTGCTGGCCGATTTTTATTTCCCCTTCACTTCTTGCTGGAACAGGATACCTCCTGTTTTGCATTCCTCGTTTTGTCCTTTCATATTTAGGGAGAACAACGTCAGGAAGATTACTTTAAGTTGGTGACAAATGGGTGTCACATGTAAAACTGGGTACACACACACCTCAAATTTCAAGCAAAATTCGATCTGTGGGTGGCCCTGTCTCCTTGACGGAAGTCCATCATTAGATCAACTTTTATCGAAGGGACATGCTGGAAGGTTGTTGGCTGAAAAGCGCTAATCAGCTGACCGAAGATAATGTACACAGTGGGAAATTTGCTCAAATATGCTGTTGGCATGGATGGAGGGATTTTTTTTGTTTGGCCTTGCTTTCCTTTTTTTAAAAACGTTTTTTGCTCTTATGTTAAGTCGCGCGTTTTTGTGAACAGGTTTTGGCACATTTTTGTGAATGTGCAAAAACATGTCCAAAAATCGTAATATGTGTTTTTCAAGCGGTTTCTATTTTCAACGGGACAAAACGTGCTGAAATCTGCCCAAGAAGTTTGTTTGTGTACTATATCGAACGACAGGCGTATTTCAGCTTGCAACCAAACTCGCAGGTGTCAACCGGGGCCATAGAAATGAATGGGATTCCTTTGGAGTGTTTTGTCGCTGAATCAGTGGCAACAATACGCCAAGGTGTGAATGGAGCCATTCCTTGTCTGTCGCACTGTCTCTTTTTTTTTTTTTTTTCCCCCTCCAGTTAAGACACAATTAAATTTTGTGCTTTGTGGATTTAAAGATGTTGGCTAGCAGAGACAAATGCATTAGGCCCCGTTCACATATAGCGAATTGTCGCGCGATTTCCGCCGCGATATCGCGCATTTTTGCCGCGCGATATCGCGAGAAGTCGCCGGCCAATGTTATTCAATGGAGCTGTCTTAACTCAATGTCGCTCGTCGCGGTCGCAAGTCGCTTCTACCGGACCCTTTTTTCGGCGGATTTTGCGCGATTTTACTTTTTTTCTATGGAGCCCGACGGGGAAGGTCGCGCTACCGTCGCTGGAACGTCGCCCCGAAAGTCGCGCTATCCCGGCCGTGCGGATCCGCTGCAAAAGGTATGTCGCTATATGTGAACGGGGCCTTAAAGGGACACTAAACTCAGGAGGTTAATCTTAAAAATGCATTTAGGTGCTTTAGAGTTACCTCCTGAGTTTAGTGTCCCTTTTTAAAAACGGATTTCCTGCCAACACTATTTTCTTTATGGGAGAAGTGTGAAGGTGTGGTCCTATGCCAGGTTTTCACAGATCGACCTTGGCAACAAGATTTGCCTTCTGCCAAAAGCGTGTGGTTGTGG